GTGTGGAGATTTGGAATAAAAGATGTTCCCAGTATCTTATCACTTTGGAAATGACAAGGGTTTTAGGAACTCTGCCAGAAACAGGGCACAGAGGCCAATATACGTATTTCTTATAATTTCACAAGCACAAAAGTTCTTAAAACCAAAAGGACCTATGTTCCACTCAGAATACTTGTAATCTATACATATATAGAAGCCTAAGTGACCATTCGACCAGTTGCTATGTTGCACACTGACTACCAAGGGGCAGACGCTCATCGCAGGAATTGCCCCCTGGTAGTCAGTATGCTCCCACAGAAGAAGTGCCGCAAGCCAGATGCCAGGCTCACAGCTAGCGAGAACAGTTACTGTGGCGTGAGCCTCTCCCACAGACACTCCCTCTCTACACCTCTCCCCCACCCAGACCAGATTGGACTGGCATCAGGACTGACTGGGCACAAGCCCACAGCCACCTCCCGGTCATGGGTATTGCCCTAGGATGGGCGTGTGGAGACCACAGTGGAGCGGCAGGTGCAGTGGGGGCCGGGATGAGCCGCAGTGGTATGGCGCCTGGCCCAGGCGTGGGCTCCTCTCTGGCCACCTGCCGCTTTGCACACTACTACATCCCTTGGGACTGCCTGTTCCGGCCCAATCCCGGCAGGCCACACTGAAGGACCCACCAGTGGCCTCTAGGAGTAGAATACTTGGGGATGGAGGGTGGAAAGGTGTGAAGAATAAGAAGGAAACAGCAGGCTGGTCTGGTGCCTGCCATCCTGAAGACAGGCAGCCAGGGTCGGGGCTGCTCCTGAGGAGGGTCCTGCTGAGGATCACCACGTGTGGTCTCCTGAGCCCTTGACCTTTAACTTGGCAACCAGGAAGTCCTTTCAAATGTTTCAGCCTATTCCTTAATTTCCCAATGTTATTACCGGAGAGAAGAGTCCCTCGTGAGTCATCACTATTATTAAAGTGTGCTCAGCCGTCCCTCTAGGCAGAGTTGGTGACCTTCCTCCACAGAGCTGGCCAGGAAATCCCCACAATACCATCCCGAGGTCAACTTCCCTCCACACAGAGCCACGGGCCTCAAGCAGAGGCAGCTAACCATACTCGTTGGACCAGACCCAGGGACCTGGAGCGGTTGAAATTGATCACGTGTTCCTCACCCTTCCTGAAATTCCCACTGTGGAATTCATTCCGTAAGTACATTCCAGAAACGAGCATTTAGCCTGACAGGAATCCCTGTTGCCAAGGATAACACAATCTCAAACATCTGATGAAATAAGAGGAACTAAGTTGTCAAAACTATTCTTGAGTGGATGCAGGAGGACAGATCATGTGAGCCAGGAACACAGAGGCTACAGAGGGGTGAGGTTGGAGCTCACTCGGATTCCAAGACGGTCTCTGTGTGGGAGACAAACCCATCTTTTTATCCAACCCCACACCCCTGGTCCTTTCAAACATGGGAGTGGTCTTTGCAGAGGATTGTGGAGCATGAGGGGAAGCAGCCAGAGTAGGGGATGGAGGCACAGCTCCCTCTCGCAGTGGTGGCCCAGAGTGTGGAGCCAGTTATTTGCACCTCTCCTTATGCCAACCTCTCCCCCTTTCTCCATTTCTCAGGGCTGGGTAAGTACTAGGAAGGAATATCTCTCAGCCTCTCTAAGCTTAGTCTCCTCATTCACTAACGGAAGACAAAAATTACCCAATTCCTGCTAAGTGGCCCTTGTCAGGGTCAGATGAGTCTGTGGGTATGAAAGGATTTTTAGATTGTGAAGATGCAGGTTATTAAGCCTTCTGCAAAGCACCTTTGTTACTTACCCTGCCACCAAGCAGTTTATAAAAATTTCAGTTACCAGCTTTTCCTGGTATGAGGTCTTGCTGTAAGAGGTTGTCTTTCTCTTGAAGGCTAAATTCCAGTGGTCAAGGCCTCCAAGGACCTTGTTGTCAGAAAGGAACATCACTCAGGGTACATGCCAGCTGCTGTGAGTGTCCCCAGGACCCTGTCCTGTTTCTAGGACCAATGGCCCTGCCTGGACACTGATGTCCACAGGGCTGCTGGTGGCAGCATGCTCACCTGTGGGCAGCCGGAAGACACTGCCCTCCCCTGGTATCTTCATCCCAAATCTGCGGTGACCCCTGGTAACGCCACATCAGAGACTGTCACATTTGTTGTATATGTTTTCATACACACACAAATAAAAGTATAGTTATACAACACTGAAATATTCCTTTATTGATAAAGGGACTATAGAATGGTGTCATAGAAATAGGATAGGGTTGGAAATCAGAGTTTTATTCTTCTTGCTCCTCCACTGACTTATTTTGTAACTAGTGAGTTGTATGTCCTCTCTTTGCCTGGTTCCTAGAACCTAGGGTTAGATACAAGCCTCAAAAGGCTATTCCCGGCACAAACATTCTCCGACTCAAGCCCCCAGTCCTATATTTTACAGGTGATTCGCTGACATCTGGGAAAGACAGGATGAGGCTTTTCTATCTTTGAGAAAATCATAAAGCCAGCAATTATAAATAAAATGGTATAGTTTAATCCAATCTCCAATTGCCTTTTAAAGTGATATTTAGAAAGAATACCATGCCATTGATAAGCAATACAAAGGAAATAGAAGTTCTCTACTTAGCCGAAACTGGTTTGGCTCAGTGGTAGAGCGTCGGTCTGCGGACTGAAGGGTCCCAGGTTTGATTCCGGTCAAGGGCATGTACATTGGTGGCGGGCACATCCCCGGTAGGGGATGTGAAGGAGGCAGCTGGTTGATGTTTCTCTCTCATCGACATTTCTAGCTATCTCTCTCCCTTCCTCCTCTCTGTAAAATATCAATAAAATATATTTTAAAAAGAAGAAGAAGAAGAAGAAGAAGAAGAAGAAGAAGAAGAAGAAGAAGAAGAAGTAGTTCTCTACTTAGCATTGTTTCCAAGACAAGATTCACGAACTCCCCCAAACCTGCCTTTCAGGAGAAATAGGGCAACCCCACATTTAAACCTGAATAACACTTTTCAGCCTGGTCACCTCAAGAAGTAGGGCATGTCTGCAACCACAATCAGCTTGGTTATGAAGACTTGGGAGAAACTTTGCTCAAGAAAAAGTTCTTGTCACCACCTAAAAAAAATGCTGGTGGATCAGATCCTTCGCAGCTAAAATACTGATGCAAAAGCTTCACTAGTACACAAGGAATTTTCAATGCCTTGAAAATTACCTGAAATTGGGTCATATTCTAGGGATTGGAAAACATTTCTTTTCCCCTGTAGAGATCTTGGTTTCAGTCAGGGATAATATTCAAAATATGTAACCACCCTCAAGGTTGAACACTGACTAAAAATAGCCTGGTTACCCTGAGGGGCAATGTCAGCCCTGGCCTTCCATCCAAGTCAGTTACACACACTCCCTGGAATGCTGTTTTATCTCCACATTGCAGAAACCAACTGTGTATATTCTGAGCCTTCACGGGGCAAGGAAATTTACTCCGTGAGTGCAGTCATGCTTTCGATGTGTGTGAGCATGCCTTTGCAGGCGCTGCAGCTGAAGAGAGGCACGGGAGGGCTAACTATCAGGCCTTCATAGGCTCTGGCTCTCCGTGTACAGAATTATTTATAGGATGTAATGGCTAATTTTATGTGTCAACTTGACCACTGGATGCTTAGATATTTGACCAAACATTTTTCTAGGTGTTTCTATGAGGTTGTTTCTGGATGAGATCAACATAGTAATGAGTCGACTGAGAAATGCAGATTGCCCTCCCTGATGTGGGTGGACGTCACCTGACCAGGTGAAGGCCTCAGTAGAAAAGGCTGACCTTCCTCCTTGCAGATGACTTTCATCTGGGGACATTAGTCTTTTCCTGGTTCCAGATTCGAACTGGAACTTTGGCTCTTATAGGAAGCAATGGCTTTCCTGAGTCTCCAGTTTGCTGACTGAAGATCTTGGGACTTGTCAGCCTCCATAACTGTGTGAGCCAATTCTTTTTATTTTTTATGTTAATCTTCAACTGAGGATATTTTTCCATTGGGATTTTTTATTTTTATTTATTTATTTATTTATTTATTTATTTATTTTTTAGAGAGAGAGTGGAAGAGAAAGGGAAAGACAGAGAGAATCACATCGATTGGCTGCATCTTGCACAAGCCATGACCAGGGCCTGGGCCAGGGAGAAGCCTGTAACCAAGGTATGTGCCCTTGACCAGAATCGAACCCAGGACCCTTTGGTCCACAGGCCGACTCTCTATCCACTGAGCCAAACAGGCTAGGGCACGTGAGCCAATTCTTTACAATACATTTCTATATGTATACATACTGTTAGTTCTGTTTCTTTGAAGGACCCTGACTATACAGGTTATGTTTCTTTAAAGCTCATTCTGTTAGATCAGTGTTTCCCAAGCTTCTCTCATGATGAGAATCACCTGGTGGAGTTGTTAAAATACAGATTCCTGAATCCCAACTAGTAGTTAAGTATACAATTTTACCTATATGTTCCCAAAAATTCTAGTTTAGTACTTCTTAGTTGGGATTCAGGAATCTGTAGTTTAACAACTCCACCAGGTGATTCTCATCATGAGAGAAGTTTGGGAAACACTGTGTTAGATAATAGCAAGCTTTGAACACTCTTATTATTCAGGCTCAAACGGATTATCTTTATTTTTTAAAAAATAAAGTTTTAAAAATATTTAACTCTATTTTTAAAAAAATATTTTATTGATTTTTATAGAGTAAGGAAGAGGGAGAGAGAGAGAGAGAGAGACATTGATGTGAGAGCACAACATTGATTGGCTATCTCCTACACACCCCCACTGGGGACTGAGTCCGAAACACAGGCATGTGCCCATACTGGGAATCGAACCAACAACAAATTGAGCTACATCAACCAGGTCCCTTTAACTTAATATTTCAATATGTCCATTTTATTTGGCATTCCGTGAATAAAATGATTCTTCTTTAATCTGTATAATTAGTAATTCTATTTTATTTTTATTCCACACAGTAGGAGTGAATGGTCAGTCCCTCAGACAGTCTTGGTTTCTCAGTTTAGGCTTTCTTTCACCCTGTGGTGGTTGGATCCATTGAACAAACTTCTATGGCCCTTTCTTCTTTGCTTGAACGTATTTACTGTTTGAAAAGAGGAGATTTCTCTTTAAAAATTCTAGGTGTTCCTATAAGCCTGCATTTCAGACCACCTCATGGTTCACTCATATTAGTGAATACCAATGGGGCTGCAAGACTGAAGAGTATGGGGCTTGGAGCAACTTTAGATTTACTCCTTTGTTGTCCCTGAACCACAAGCAAGCACTTTCCTCTGGTCGCTTCAGGTGTGGCTCCCCCTCCCCCACAGGTCCAGTGGGTGAGTATGTATGCAGGCACCATGCTAAGCTCTCAGCAAATGTTATTTAACCCCTTCTGCCCATATGAGGCAGGTGCTCTGATTACCCTGCTTTGAAGATGAAGCTGTTGCTTGCCTAAGGTTACCCCAAAGTCATACAACTCATTCCGGCCTAGGTAGAGATTTGAAGCCAGGTCAGTCCAAATCTTGCACTCTGAGCTACTACTACCCAGCTCCCATCAGCACTGAGTCAGATCCTCTGGTTGTACATGTGGATGAGATGCTCAGTGAGTGGCAGTCTCTTCTTCAGTTTCCCCAGAGTTGCTGGGTGACTGGAAGGAGATGTAAGAAGAGAGAGTCCTGGGTGGGGAATGGGATGGATATGGGGCATTCCAGGTTTAAGGTGCAGACATCATTCTGGAGATGCTCAGAGGATGTTAAATATGCAAGACAGAAACCCCAAAGCAGCCAGGGCTCACATGGGCATTATTTGCATGGAGGAAAAAGTGGAAGTGTGGGTTTAGGAGAGGTTGGCAGTGAGTGAGGTATAGGAAACAGAATAAACTGGCAGGTTCTTGAGGGAGCATGAAGCCAAATAGAGGAAGGAGAGTAGGATAGAGCAGAGAGAGGAGAATCTGGCAGGCCAGGCTGCAATCTACTTGCCCCCGCTAGCCTGTTTGGTTTTACATCTCATTTTCGATGCGTTCTGCCTCAGAACCCAATGGGAGCCTTCTCACAGCTTCTGTGGGCTTCTACCCACAGAGGCAGTTTGCTGGGAAGCCATTCTTGTGATGTTATTTTGGGGGAGGACAAGGACTTTTGGTCCTTCCAGTCCAAGCATTGTTGGAGACCCAAGCCCTGTACACTCCACCGCCATTCAAGGAACTTCCATTGCCTGCCCTCCAAATATGTAGGACCTGGGTGACTTGCAGGAGTGTCTTTAAGGGATGAGGCCCCTGTCTTTAGCCATTTGGGTTACAGGAGAGTTTATTGTTCTGATGCCAGAGCTCTCAAATACCAGGGAACTGGGAATTTGGCAAAGTCTATCCTGAAATCTACAATACATAAAAACAACAGAAATTGGCTGGATGACAGTACAGTTGGTAAATTTGCAGCTGGTGGAGCCACCACTAATCTCCCTTTCGACCTCTGATTGTGTTGGGCTGGTCCTGTTGGGGGACAGGGTGCAGACCGTGGGGCCTGAGATTTTGTGGCCCCAGGACTGTCTCTGGCCCTGCAAAGTCTGAGGTGGGGAGAGTCCTACTTCAGAGCAGCTCCTGGGCTGTGCCTGATGACCACTTGTACAACTGAGAGGTGTCTAGTAAGGTGCCTGAGATCCTATCCTCGTTGGCATTTAAATGACAAGATGGTGGGCTTGTCGCATCAAGGATGATCAACAGCGTGGAGGAGCATCCTATAGGAAGAGTCAGGACCAAAAAATTTCCCAACAGAATGGAACTACGAGACACTTCTGATGCCCCTTCAGGATGTGAGCTCCATGAGGGCAGGGGTATCTGTGTCTATGGTAATGAATCCTGAGAACTTAGGATAGTTCCTGGTGCATGATAGGTGCTCAATAAACATTAAAGGTTGAATTAAGAAGCCTGAGTTTAAACGTCTGGCCTTGCACTTGGACTTACAGAAAGCCAACTGCATGTGGCTTAGCAATAGCACATTTACCAAATCCTTAGAAGTTTTCATTGACATTAGCTTGAAATTAATAGTGGGATGTATTTCCAGAATCAATGCAGTCTTAGAGTGTGTGGACAGATGTATAGGGTGTAGAATGCTGGAGATATTGAACCATCAGTGTGACTACAAAGTATAACTCAGAGAAGCTGGGAAGGCAGTAGGAGGATTAGCCTAGAGAAGAGGCTCAGTGGTATTCTGGAAAGTTCTGATGAGAAGACTGGAGCAAGGGGCAGAAGCCACAGGGGAAATGCATGGGCCAACATCAGCATTTGAGGTTATATTGGAAAAGGTAGTGGGGAAGGGTGGGAGGTAAGGGACTCCCAGTGATGTGAGACTCAGCCCCAAGTGGGAGGCCACTTTCATTGAGAGGCAGGTGTGACAGATGGTTTGGGGACCTTCCTGGGCCTGGTCATAAGGGGCATGCAACCACACAATGTGGCCGCAGGCATCACAGTTATTCCTGGGAGAGTGAAGGGGCCCCTCAATGAGTTTGGCTGAGAAGGGAGAGTGGAAGCCCACCCGTGGCCCATGACTCCTCAAATTTAGAGTTGAATGGGCCAGATGTCCTTGCATTGACAACCACCAGGAAACTACTGTGGGGCTCCCAGCTGGTCTACCCAGGACTGAGTCACCTGCTTTTTCAGAGAGCTGTTCATAAGCATACATGCCCCTTGAATAGACACTTTACTTCTTTTCATACCAGAAATAAAGAGAGAGAGAGAGAGAGAAAGAGAGAGTGAGAGAGAGAGAGAGAGAGAGAGAGAGAGAGAGAGAGAGAGAGAGAGAGAAGGCCCACATTTACCCATCACCAAGATGGTCCCAGATTCCATTTACCTAAAGCTTTTTGAAGACTGTCAATAATATTTCCCAGGCTTCTTAGGCTTTTAATTTGATAAAATAGTTCCTTCTCCTCTTCTGTGGGAAAAATTAAGCACAATGATAAAAATTTGACAATTATGGTTTAATTCCAATTCACATTTTTCCTTTTAACCGGGCCATCTGGCTTTCAAGCCTACGTTCTTAGCTTCTCCCTTGCACTGTCTCCCAAGTTCCTGTGACCCACCATAGGCCCTGAATTCTCCTCCCCATCAGTTCAGAAAGGTGCTGGAAGCATCAGCTGTATTTCCTTTGTCCATACATATTCTGATATTCATCAGCAAGTACACAACAGGCTATCCGTGTGCCTCTTTTTCCTTTATCTTCCATTCCCATATCATGAGATATCCATTAGGATGCGACAAGAATCACTAAGCAGCCAAATATAAAGAACTAGAGGCCCTGTGCATGAAAATCGTGCACGGGTAGGGTCCCTAAGCCTGGCTGGCCATCAGGGCCAATCTGCAGGACAACTGGTGGGGTGATCAGGGGGCCCCTGCTGGCACCCGCCTTGGCCAGCCTGGTGCCGCTTGCTCACTGGCTCTGCCCACAACCCCCACCACTGCCCTTGCCCATCCCTCCCAAAACTCTTAACCTCTATTTTCTCTCAGTCCCTGAAATGGCTGGTCTTGGCTTGGTGGTTAGGAGCAAAACAATTCAATTAAATAGGTTCCTTTGCAGCAAAGTGTGGCATTTGCCTTGGGGCCCAGATAAATCTAGTGACAGCTCAGAGGGCCATTCAGGGAGGAAGGGCCCTGTGGAGACCCCCAGACCAGTCTCAGGACTGAGCAGAGGATCAAGGGTGACAAACACAGTCGTGCTGAGCAGTCCTGCACACAAGACAGATTTGGAAATTTCATGGTCCCTGTGAAGACCCTGGTGGACTGGTTTGCCCTGGTCAGTTTTTTTCTCCATCTCTTACCCCTGATTCTGACTCTTCCCCCTTGCCTCTCATTCTCAGCCTGTCTCAGAATTTCCAGTCCATCCTTAATTCCTCCTGCTGCTTCAGGGAATGTAATGAGTCCAATGCAGAGAGGTTGTGTTCTTGAGACTAGTTCATGGACAGTCAATTCAGTAGAGACCCACCTTGTCACCTCTCCTATTGTGGGCCCACTGCCATAAAGATGTCCAGCCCTATTTAATTTATAACCACCTGGCAATTTGCAGACTCCCATGAGTAAGACAAATCCAGAGGTGTTAGAAATATTAATTTCAACCAGGATCTTATTCTTGTTCAGTCCTTGCAAACACGAGAGGCTGGCTCCCTGGAGAAGACTATTTGGAGGAATGGGCTGACATGCAGATTCCTGGGCCTCCCAGTGGAGTCACTTGGTGGGGCCTGGGGGTATGTATTTGAGTCAGCTCCCCTTTCTGCGCCTGCTCTACCATCAGGCTTGGGAGCTGCAATCTGGACTCCCTCTGAGTCCACTATGGGGTCTCAGAGGGGGGTCCTAAGAGCTGCACAGGTGTCCTTTCCTGTTTAGTCTTTAGGGTAAAGACAAGATCTGTCACCCATGGGATGCTGGCTCCTTAGTCCTGGAGCCTCAACATACTGCTTTTCATTTCAGCAAACTTGTCTGTTTTCCTCACTCCTGGGGACATCCTGGGGGACACTATGGGCCCACTCCAGGGGAGGAGCAGTGACCGAACTGAAAGTTTGGGAGGGGATGGGCAAAGTGATAGCACCTTCCTTGCCCTCTGACATCACCTGCCTGTGGGGACAACATTCCTACCAGCTCCTCTGACCATGGGTTCCAGGGTCAGATCCGTGAGCAGGAGGGGGCGGGGGGGGGGGGGGCGCTGGCTGTCCCTCAACCCTTGAAGGAGACAAGAAATCAGTCTGACCTGGTGAAGCAGCCATGACCTCCATCCTCCATCCTCTACATCCTCTAGCAAGGAGCTTTCTGGCCCCTCTGTGCTTCCCACCAGCCTCTTAACTCGGGCAAGGGAATTACCAGGTTGCACTTACCATTAAGGAAAAGTCTGTCGGCATTCCCGGAAGATACTGTCTTGTCATGGTGCTTATCAGTATCAGTCTGATCATTGGTTTTAATATGGGCTTTTTTGATGAAGAGCATGGTGGGGAGAAGGGAAATGGAGAAAAGCATAAATATATACTTTCATGAACATTTTGATTCAAAATTTATTTTAAAACATTAGGGTGGAATGCTAATCGAGTTTCCATTGGAAATGTGTGTTGGAAAGTTAATGTGTAACCAGAGTAGGCATCATCTGAGTGCCTTGAACCCAGCAGTGTGGGTCTGGGCAGATGTTGGGTGAGCTAGTGCAAGGACTTAGAATTTATTTATATCTGAATGCAAACTTTCAAGAAAATGCGGAACTTCCCTGCTGCTTTATGCATTTTCACACACTGCATGTGGATTTCTGGTGCCCGGCTTTCTCCTTAGCAGGTGTCAACCAAATATTCTGTCTTGGTTCTCAGTGTGTGTGCTACTTTATTATTTATGTTCATTTTGAACAACATGAAGCTGTATTTTTGGGAAAGTATGTTTTTTGCTTTTATTCTCTACCATCAGTGTGGCCTTGGGCACGTGCTTTTTCAGACCTTAGTTTGATCCCATCAAATGGGGTCATGGTCACTGCCCTGCTCTGGGTGAAGCTTAGGTGAGCATCACACATGCTGGCTCATGGAAAGTTCCCATTTTCCTGTGCCCCCTGTTCCTGCAGTGGTGGAGCCCCATTTTCATCCCAAGCCCAATACCTTGCTTGCCCATGCACCCCAGAGATCACTCCAAAATTAAGTGAACTTATTTCTGCTGCTCTAGGTTTTATGGACATGGTTTGGGACAGCCACTTCTTTCACATGCCTATTTGCTTTTGCTCCAGAAAGAACTGGCCTTAAGAATGCTAAAATGATGGAATTGTGCTTTATTCCCATTCATTTTTTTATATTTTTTTTTAGCGAGTAAAAAGGGGAGAGAGAGAGAGAGAGAGAGAGAGAGAGAGAGAGAGAGAGAGAGAGAGAGAGAGAGAGAGAGAGAGAGAGAGAGAGAGAAGAAAGACACAGCAATTAGCTGCCTCCTGTAGGAGCTCTGACCAGGGCTGGGGAATCAAACCCTTAGGTCTGAGAGTTTATGCTTTAACCACTGAGAAAAACTGTCCAGAATGGGATTGTGCATTTAATACTATACAGTGCTAAGAATACACACAATTAAGAGTTAAAAAAAATGTATACTTGCTTTTTTCTTTGTACTCTTCATCGTGGTCTTTTGTTTCCTTTGTGGCCTTTGTGTTTCAAACAATGTTGATTTATCTGGATCCAGAAACTCTTGGACTACAATTTCATCTTGGGAAAAGCACACAAGAATATGTTAAAGCCAGTGATGCAGAACCCACACCTTTTTGCTCACACAGCAGTTCTGCGAAATCTGTGACTGGAAACAGGAAATCAGTGACTTCATGAATAGGGGAGTTGACTATGTAGGGTTTTTTTTTTCTTTTTTCTTTTTATGCTCACCTGAGAGTATGTTTATTGATTACTAGAGGCCTGGTACACAAAATTCGTGTACGTATGTGTGGGGCTGTCCCTCAGCCCAGCCTGCACCCTCTCCAATTTGGGACCCCTCAAGGGATGTCCAATTGCCTGGTGGGATTGGGCCCAAACGGGCAGTCGGACATCCCTTTCACAATCCAGGACTGCTGGCTTCCAACCACTCGCCTGCCTGCCTGCCTGATTGCCCCTAACTGTTTCTGCCTGCCATCCTGATCACTCCCTAACTGCTTCCCTGCTGGCCCGATTGCCCCTGCCAACCTGGTCACCCCAAACTGCCCTCCCCTGCCAGCCATCTTGTTGTGTCCACATGTGGGCGGCCATCTTGTGTGTTGGAGTGATGGTCAATTTGCATATTACCTATTTATTATATAGGATTATTTTAGAGAGAAACATTGATGTGAGAGAGAAACAGTTGCCTCCTCTACACACCCCAACCAGGGATTGACCCACAACGTAGGTATGTGACCTGTCTGGGAATCAAACCTGTAATCTTTTGGTGTATGGGACAACTCTTTGAACAACTGAACTACCCAGCCAGGGCAAGAGTAGGCTTTCCTTTTCTTTTTTAAAAAAAATTCTTTATTGTTGAAATATTGCATTACATATGTCCTTTCCCCCCCTCATCATTGACCCCTCCCATGCCCCCTCCCCTTGACCTTGTCCCAGGCGCTCACTGCCTCATTGTCTGTGTCCATGGGTCATGCATATATGCACACAAGATCCTTGGTTGATTACCTTCCGCCCACCCAGGAGCTGGCTTTCTGAGAAACTCGTCTGAGGTGGAAGGGCCTCCCTAACTAATAAACCTGAGACCATTCAGATCCCCTGAGTAATAAATATTGACCCCCAAAGATATGAGGCTGGAAACGTGGCCTCAGATAGTTATCAATATAATTTTCCTTCCTGCCCTGCTGTCATTCTGTCCCCATCCTGGGCCTTTCCCCAAGCTGTCCCTGTGCTTGCACAAATGTCTTTTCTAATTGCTACTTAATGTGACATGTTCTTCCCTTTATATCCTTCTGACCTCTCCTAGGAAGATTATAACTTAGTCTAGGCAGGGCTTTCTGTTGGACAGACTTGACCCACATTCTGGTTCTGCTCTCATGGGAATGTGATCTTGTCAAATTCCTCTCTGACTTTCGGTTTTGTCTTCTGTAAAATGGAGTCTGTATTACACCAGGCTCTTATGAGGTTAAGATAAGGCAGTATATACAGGATAAGCCCTAATACATAGTCTGGGACAATGGCAGCTGTGAGTCCCCCTATATCAGCAACACAAAGGGCACCCTAAACAGCCCCTCCTCATTTCTGCAACACAGTGGTCATGCTGACCAGCACCCTTCATCTATGTAATACAATGGTTACACTGACCAGCACCCCATAACTGCAACACAATAGCACCCTGACCAGCCAGTCCACATACTGGGCTGGGGTGGGGGTGACCAACCGGCCCTGGTTTGCCCTGATTTTCCTGGTTTAGCATGAATGTCCCACATCTTGGGAACTCCACAGCTTCATGCAAAACAAACACGGGCCACCCCCATTCCCACTCATGGGGAATACACGAATAAAGGGGATGAACAACTAAATATCACTGGAAGCAATGGTGTCACAAACATACACGGGGTAACACTCTTCCATGGTTCTGTCGCATTTCCACTCAACAGCCATGTTCTCCTTCCTCCACCACAGAACCTGAACCTCGCTGGGGCGATGTATGCACCCCAGTGGGGTACTTTGATAACCCCGCAGAAGGGGTGGGCTATGGGCTCTGTGAAGAAAGCAGTGGGAGTTCCTGCAATCCATCTGCTCCATGCAGGGTGGTCTCCTGGAGACAAAAGGGAAATGGTGTCTGGACTGTATGTATCCCCCCTGCATTTTCCTGCCCTGGAAGTGGCCATGATGTTTGGAACTGTGGACTCCATGTGTGACCATGGGACACAAGCTCAAGCAATGGCCAGGGTGACCAAAGGGATACAGCCTCATGTCACTGAGCTGCTGATGACACAAGATCACAACCCCTGCAGGCTGAGCCATTGCCACTCATTCTGCTCATGAATTCAACCAGTCACATTCTTAGCTGGTGCAGCTGCTCTGGCAACACCTGCTTCCACCTTGACAAGACCTTGGCCACTCTCTGGGACAGCTTTTATACAGGAGAACCAATTTTAAGTTCCTAAAAAAATCATGGCATCTCGTTAGATTCTGGGTCATGGAGAAGGGTAGATGTTGATGGGAACTACAAGCATTTATTGAGCACCTACTGTAGACCAGAAACTGTCCAGGTGCTGAAGGGTCAAGGATGAGCCAGCTCTGGTCCCTGGCCTCTGTCTTGAGCAGGCCAGCTGTGTGTGAAAGGTGGGATTCTACATATGTGACCACACACAGTGCTTCAGCTGTAAGAGAGAACTCGGGCAGGTAGGGACAGGCAGGGGACAGGAGCGTGGCTGACTAGAGCGAAGCAGTGGGAGTTCCTGCAATCCGTCCGCTCCATGCAGGGCGGCCTCCTGGAGACACTAAAGGCCATGAGCTGTGGGGCCATGGGAATGTGATTTTAGCCTCTAACCAAATCACATCCACCTTATGCAATCTGCACCAGGTTTTCTGGAAAACACCCACTGACAAATCCCCCAAGCCCATCCAAACACAAACCAGATGTTTGATAAGAAGAGGCTCCTTACCAAATATTCCAAGTATATCATCCTGGGGTTTTGATTTCCATGACTTTTCAGAAACTGGATCTAGTGAAGAAATACAACCCTACTAGTTTAACCATATTCATGGAATCTGCACTGGCCTCTAAGTAGAGTTTCTTTTGCAGAGCCCTGCTTGGAGCTCCTGTGCCTGGATTCTCATCGGGAAAGTGGTGGGCAAGGTGGCTTCCCTGTCCACTGTCCCATTTCTCAATACGTAAAGGGTCAGGATAAAAGAGCCAGAGCCAAAGGCCTATGGGTGCTGCTTGGGTGTGATTAGAACCAACCACCTGCAAAGGGGCATAATGAGACCACAGGGGAGAGATTTTGAATGGGCTGGGTATTAGCCAATATTCAATTGTTTACAGGATTTTTGTAACCCTTGTCAGTGTTTCATGACATTGTAGATATATATATATATATATATATATATATATATATATATGCCCTTATCTTAGCAAGAAAATATTTTCATAAAGTGATAAGACATCTTAGACAGTGCTAAAATACTTCCAGGAACAACCAATGTGTATATGTGTGTATAGAAAAAAAATAAGATGGCAAAGCATATATAAATAAAACCAAGTGATGGGGATTCTTTACACTATTCCTCTACCTTTGGATGAGTTAGAACATTCCCATAATAAAAAGTTAAAATACAGCCTCCCCCTTTCCCCTGGCATGGCTCAGTGGTTGAGCCTTCAACCTATAAACCAGTAAATCCCCATTCGAATCCAGTCAGGACACATACCCAGGTTGTGGGCTCAATCCCCAGTGTGGGGGTGTGCAGGAAGGCAGCCAATCAATGATTCTCTCTCATCATTGATGTTTTTCTTTCTCTTTCTCCCTCTCCTTTCCTTTCTGAAATCACACACACACACACACACACACACACACACACACACTCACATTCCCCTAATAAAAGTTAGCATACATAATGTATGCTACTCTCCCATGGAGTCCCAGATTTCAAAAAGGGCTTCAACTTACTCCGTTCCCCCTGGAATAAGTGGTGAATCTGGAGAGATGGGGAGGAAGGGACCTGTGGCAGAAAGCCACCACCTGCCTGATTCAGGCCTCAGGGAAGAAGGAGCATGTTTTCTACCTGCCACCACTACCCACTGCGACTGTACCTGAAGATATGTTAATCCGATGGACCTCAGCTTCTTGCCAGCAGCAGAGCAGCAGGACAAAGAGGGTCGCTCCTCTATTCGCTGCCATGTTCCCTCAGCTGAAGGAGGAAGGTTTCCTTCTGATGGGCCCACAGCACCCCTCACTTTCGTTGCCAGGATACTGTGGAATGCTTGGGGACCTGTGACATCACAGCAGTAAGTGAGCTGGGCCTTGCCCTGGGGGTGGGAGACAGGATCTGTGACTGGGAAGAGAGTGGGGCCTGACTGGGCTGTGAAAGAAGGCTTTCATAGGAGATGAAAATCTGAAGAAACAGTTGGACCAATGTATTTTAACGCTAGGTTTGATGAAGAGTGGACAATGGTGGAGGACTCTGAAAGGTCAAAGGGTATAAGGTAAGCGTAGTCAATTCAGGGAAATTCAGCAAAGCTTGTTTGTTAGGATCCTCCTTGGTGTCCCTTGTCTTGGGAGAGCCAAGCCAAGCTCTCAGGACACAAAACAGGATGGAAGGAGATTACCATCATCGTTTTTATTAGTGGCTCAGAGAAAAATGTATCCATATGAATGCCAGTCTGGTGAGAACCGTAACCTCACTGGTCAGTAAGGCTGCCTCGAACAATAGCTTATAGGACCTAAGCCTATGTTGTTACATACCATTCTCCTATTTATGACAAATAACACCAAGGACAGAGACAAAGGAAAATAATGGATACCCCTAAGAGGGAAAAATCAATAACAAGAGTACTTAAATTCTTAAGAATCATGTCAAATAAAGTTTTATTTAAAAAAAAATTTTTTTAATTGATTTTAGAGAGGGAGAGAGAATAGGAACATCCATGATGAGAGAGAATCATTGATTGGCCTGTGCATGTGCCTTGACCAGGAACCAAACCGCAATCTCCTGGTTCGTAGGTCAACGCTCAACCACTGAGCTACGCTCTGTTGGGCCAAAGAACTAATTATTACAATGTGTTCTCTGAATCCAGATTTGGAAACGAAAAGATAAGCAGTGGCTGTTAGCATTCTCGCCTGACCAGACTCTGAGCAGAAGTTCAGGAGGCTGACTTGGTAAGTATTTCCACCTTCATAGCTTTTTCAGGTGTGCTGGGACCTCAATTACAGTGAGTAATTGAGGTCCGGAGCGAGTGGCAGCTTACTCCCCCAGCTCATCTTTGTCACCAACACGTCAAGGAGGAAAAACTTTTCGCCTGCCCTCTTGGGTTCTGAGGCTGGCAAATTGAACTATCAAAAAGATAGAGTAGCAGGAGAAAAGGTATGCCATTTTTATCAATATTTACATGCAGGGAGTTCACAGAAAAGTGAAACTCAGAGAAGTAGTTAGACTTGGGGACTTATGTACAATTTTAACAAAGAAAAGGGGGTTTGGATCTCAAGGGATGATACATGAGGGGGAAGCCACTAAGAAATACACAGGGGAACTAATGGGAGATGAGGGGGTGTTTATGTGCATTCTCAGTATGGGCTCTTCGTTTCTACCACCCAGAGCGCTCCCCTGTCCTGGTAGCAGGGAGGGTGCCACCTTCACAGAGGGAGGCTTATAGGACCTTGCCCGAAGGCTTTTAAGGATAGGGCACAGAGCTCTACCTCTCTCTGTGATCCCTGATCGCCTTCAGCTCAAAATAATCCTAAATGGTTATTTTAGGGTGACATATTCTGTTACCCTTCTGCCATTAAACAGTTTGCCCTTATATCACCAGTTTCCCCAATTAAAGATCATTTTCAAAAAGCAATTGTTTTTGCTGCCAGTGGAAACGGGGTCCCTGTGGCGTCACGTAAGAGCATCTCCCAGGCCAGCCTGGGAGGGTGAGGTCTGGCGGTAAGATGCATTGGGATTGGAATGGAAGGCTGCTCCCAGGCTCCCGGTTTTTCATCCTCATCCCTCCTGCTGTGGAGAATGTCCAGCCTTGTCTTCACCAGCCCCAGGAATTCTCTGCCACGACAAGGCTTTAGTTCAGTTTAGTCTCTGTCCCCATCCCGCTGGCTTGGTCTGTTTCCCACTGCGCTTTGGCTGGCGCTGTGTCTGGACCCATGATTGGAGCCCTTGCCTGGAGTCTTCGTGGCTGGTAGGCCCTCGTGGCTGCTAGGGAGAGAGAGCACGGAGTGCACAGGGCAAGCCTGGCGGGAAGGAGAGAAGGGAGAGAAGGAGGAGGAAGAGGAGGAGGAAGAGAGGAGGAGGTCGAAACTTTTTTTTAAAATCTAGAGCTCCGTGGGAGAGTAGAATATATTATGTATTTTAACTTTTTAAAAAATATATTTTTATTGATTTCAGAGAGGAAGGGAGAAGAAGAGATAAAAACCTCAATGATGAGAGAATATCTTTGGTTGGCTGCCTCCTAGGGACCGAGCCTGCAATCCAGACATGTGCCCTTGACCTGAATTGAACCTGGGACCCTTCAGTCTGCAGGCCAATGCTCCTTCCACCGAACCAAACTGGCTAGGGCTGTATTTTAACTTTTAAAAAAATAATATTTTTATTGATTTTAGAGAGGAAGGGAGGGGGAGAGAGAGAAACATCAATGATGAGAGAGAATCATAGATCGGTTGCCTCCCTGCACGCCCACACTAGGGGTTGAGCCCACAACCTGGGTATGTGTCCTGACAGGAATCGAATGGGGATCTCCTGGTTCATAGGTCGAAGGCTCAACCACTGAGCCATGTTGGGGACAGACACTCAACACAGGAGCTGCTCCCTGGTGGTCAGTGCGCTCCCACAGAGGGAGCACAGCTCAGCCAGAAGCTAGGTGAATTATAGGTAATACAGAAACTTCTTTTGAGATCATCTATCTCTGTGGATCCATTCAGCTCTCATTATTTTGTTCATTTTCTACTTTTGCTGATAATTATTTAAATTTAAAGGTTTTCCATATACATATTTTATTGTTTTGGTCCTTTTGTGCTCCACCACTAAACTAGTGTAATTTATCAGTTCACCTTGTCAATTTCCTTTTCACGCTTCCTCTGGCTCAGAGCTATGTTAGCTTCTCTAGGTGTGGATCTCTTGGTATTTGCCTGCAGGATTGACAGGTTGACTTTGGGTCTTTTGTGGTCTGTATTAATGGATCTGTTCTTAGAAACTAAGTTGCTTGCTAAGAAAATTACCCTCCTCACTTCTGTTTTTAGTAGGGAGGCCTTGGCATTTGTCCAACAGTTAATGAGAAATCGTGGTACAATTATGTTTTATTTTTCCCCTCAGTTCTTTCTGTGGTTGACATAATGCTGAAAATTAAAGAACCTTGAGTGGAAAAGGCATCAATAAAATAAAAGCTTATTGCAATTATATTCTGACCTCGATTTTTCCTCTATAACTATATATTTTTCCACAGGCTTAGTTAAATTCTAAGAGGTACCTATTCCTCTCGGTGTTTGCTACCAGATGTTTACTGGTAGAGTAATTGCATGCTGCTTTGCCCTCAGATAAAGTGATGCTTTCATAACTTCTAAAGAAGACAGAATTGTCTAAGATTTTTTAGCTTTTAAAAATTAAATTTTCTTATTGTTCATATTGATAAAAACATGGCTGCACTCCAACTCTCAGGATAAATTAGTGTGTTGTTTCTAGAAACTAGCTCTGATGTTTGTGAAGAGCAGATAAAAACTATTGTATATAGGCAATTAACCTAATCTGTTCACTGACACATTATAAAACAACTAGAACCCGGTGCACAAAATCCGTGCACTCAGGGGGAGGAGGTTTCTCAGCCTGGATTGTGAGAGGGTGCATGCCAGCCCAAGGGACCCCACCAGAGCATGATCGGGGCTGGGTAGGGAAAGGGGAGGTTGGCCAACCAGGAGGGGTCGAGGGAAGGCTCCAGGGTTTGTCTGGCCTGTCTCCCTCAATCCTGATTGGCTGGACCCCAGCAGCAAGCTAACATACCAGTTGGAGGGTCTGCCCCCTGATGGTCAGTATAAGTCATAGCAAGTGGTTGAGAGGCCTTAGGATATTATTAGCAATTAGTGGCCTTGTGCACAAAATTTGTGCATGGGGTGGGGGGGTTCCCTTAGCCCAGCCTGAACCTTCTCCAATTGGGGACCCTTTGGGTGTTGTCTGACTGCCAGCAGATGGACATCCCTCTCAAAACCTGGAACCGCTGGCTCCTAACTGCTCACCTGCCTGCCTGTCTGATTGCCCCTTACTGCCTCTACCAGTCTGCCTGATTGCCCCTAACCTCTCTGCCTGCCTGATCACTCCTAACTGCCCTCCCCTGCCAGCCTGATCTCCCCACAATTGCCCTCCCCTGCTGGCCTGGTTGCCCCCAACTGTCCTCCTCTGCCAGCCTGATCTTGCCCAATTTCTATCTCTCTTTGTTTTTCTCAGCAGTCTTCCAGGCCTGCCTGCCTCCCTGTTTCCCTCTTCCTCTTTCCTGGCTGGGAGAAGGCAGGGCCAGTGGGGGCCACTCCACCTCTGCCCACCCTCCCTTCCATTCAGGCCTCTTCAGGCCCAGTCCGTTTTGTTTCCTCATTCTGAGAACGAGGTGAGAGGGAGGGAAAGAAAGGGAGAAAAGGCTGTGAGTTGGTGGGCGCTGTGTGTGTCTGTGTGTGTGTGTGTGTGTGTGTGTGTGTGTGTGCAGTTATGAGTAATTCTGAGTGCTGGCCTCACCTCCCCTGTCCTCTTCTTCGCTGCCACAAGTCCTCACCCACCAGAGCCTGCTGCACACGCAACCTGGGAGTTAGGCTGAGCCTCTGGTCGTTGTGGATGTGGTGGACACAAGGTTTTTATATATTAGGATTATGCTTTGGTTGGTTGAACGTCTGACTGGATGACCAAACACTTAGCATATTAGGCTTTTATTATATAGGATGAGGTTTAGCATGGTGGCTTGAATAGCCTTTTAAAATTCATGCTGCATTTATAAATTGTTTTGTTTCCTATAAAAAAAATCATTTAATTATCGATTAAAGTGATAACCTCCTTATAGTGGTTTTGTTTATTCCTCAAAGTAGTCGCTAGTTATATGTTTAAGAATTAAGTGTAAACCAAGCCAGCCTTGGGGGTGTGGCTGTTCATGGGAGCATCATCCTGTGCACTAACGTGTTGGGGGTTGGATTCTTGGTCAGGGCACATACCCAGG